CTTCACATTGTGGTTGAGGAAATGGTCTCCAGGCTCTTACTACCTTGGTCTTGTCACCAAGTTACTGCTGTGTCAGAGCTCAAAGTCAGAGCTAGGTCCATGGCTGCAGTAGTGTAGTCTAACTACACCATTCTCCTTGAATGGCAGTTTTAATGTAGTGATGCTGTCTTCCACTGAGCTGGGCAGCCCAGTTCAGAAAGAATGTTTTTTTTGTTTTGTGCACGTTCCTCTGTGCCAGCTGTCCCCAGGCCTCAACCAGAAGCTGTACCTTGTGCCTGCCTTCTCAGAGGCACTAGAATTTGTCTCTGTTCTGTTTGTAAAGCACAAAGGGATGGGCTATTAATCATGCTGCCAGCCAGGCGACACAGTACCACTGAAATAATGAATTGCCCAACTCCTGCCAAAATGAGTCACACCATGGTCACAAAGGAAACTTATCTCTTCCTCACTCTCCTATCCTGTTCTTCTCTCTTCCCTGCTCATCTCCAGTGATCTGTCTTGCCAGTGGTAATGGCAGCATTTTCTCCTTTATTTAAGTTCTGAAGTGTCTTTGGGATTCACCAATTTATCTAAAGGTTAAACAAGGCCTGTCAGGGACCTTTATGGCTTCCCAACACAGGCAGTTAAGCAGAGCTTGCAAGTAGCTCCAGGTATATAGGACCAAGAATTGAAAATATAAGTATTTCCCTTTTTGGAGAATGGGACAACTCCAGTCCAAAATTGTACTGACAATAATACGAAATAAAGTCTTCAACAAGCAATAGTCATGTGACTGACCTGATCATATGATTAAACAAGGATACACAAGCTGTTTGGATGGTATGATAGGGGCTCTGATTTAAACAGGTGTTTTTAGGAGGCATCTTTTCTTTACTAACCATCCCTGCTTCCTATGGTAAAATTCCTTGATGTATTAGCAGGTGAGCCCTCCAATTTCCTCACAGTCAAATTCTTTCTCTCCATGTTTCCTCCTATTATTGCTGTGTAAATACATATGTACATATATGCATACTACATGCACATACATACACATCTATACATACATATACACATATGTATACATTCATACACATACATACATATGATCATTTGCAAATATCTTTGGCTGCAATCATGCTTATTCCATCACCAGAAATCTAGAGTCATGCCATCCAGAGCTCATGTGATGAGCATGGTATCTTCACAAACTCTGCCTCCTACCTTCCTGGCATCATTCATCAGTTGGCAGATTGCCTCAGGTTGCACAATGGATGTTGCAACTCCAGACGCCATGTTTTTCTTCAAGGCACTAAGAAGTTGAAAGAAACTTGCAAGACACCAACTACATTAGCTCCCTATTTGGGGAAAAGCACAAGCTGCAGGGCTTGTTTGTGTATGTCTCATTGGTCATAGCTCTTGTCACAAATCAAATTCACTGCTGGGGTGCCAGAATAAAGAATTGCAGCTTTGGGATACTCTGAAATGGAGGTAGCAGTGTGAGTGGGGTTCAGGTTAGCCAATAAATGGTGTCTACACAACTGCAAAGAAGGAAACCATGACAACAAAACTGGCAGTCCAAGAACCCACACCCAGAAGTACAAGCGAAGAAAATCCATATGTGTGAGCTCCGTTATGCACCAGATTCTGTGCTAGGCAGCATTCCTGAAAACATGCATGCCACCGGCACCTCCTGTGCCATTGAGAAAGCTAGGCTGGGCAGCATTCTGCAAGCCGCTAAATCAGGAACATGGAATCAAATCAGGCTGTGTCTGATTTGAAAGCCTGTTCTCTCTACCACCCTACATTTCCTCTAGGAAGCTATGGCTGGCTTTGTGGCATAGGAATGGTACCTCACTGAATCTCTGCTCCTTTGTTTTGACAACATCTCAGTCACTTGTGGACAAACTAAGAATCAGGAACAATTGTTTGTGGGTTGCTGACTTAAAGATGAATACTCAAGACCTGGCATTGTGATGATAGTTAAAGAAGAAATGGCAATGGCAGTGGGAGAGCCAGCTCCATTTTCTTGTGGCATCTGATGTCTGGGGGAAGGAGATCCATGAAGACAGCAGACAGCCTGGATCATAACTCCCTGTCTATACATTTAGCACATTTATAGTAAGAGCCTGCTATGTACCAGTACCGTTCAGTTGCCAAAACAAAGACCGGTGACACAAGGCCTTATTACACCCCCTTCTTCTCTCTCTCCCTCCCCTCCCTCTTTCTCTCTCTCTCTCTTTTCCTCTCTTCTTCCTCTCTTCCTCTCTTTCTCCCTCCCTCTCTCCTTGTCCCTCCCACCCTGGTGTGTATGTGTTGAGGCAAAGGCTGGAAAGAACACAGACTGCATTAAACTAGTGGTGTGTCAATAGACAGCATGAGGGCTATCACCTGTGTGAGGGGCTGCCATAAGAAAAGGCCAGTGGTTGACACAGCAGAAGGAAGCTGCTGGGATCCAGACTTCTTAGAGTGGTGGGTGGGGAGGCCAACTTGCACATCCCCATGGATCTGCCCTCTTTGCCACCTCTCCCTCCATGGAGGGAAGTCTGAACAGAAACTCAGAGACAGAAGTGAGCCTGACTGCACTGCATTTTTTCTCCATCTAAAGCTTGGCCTGGAGCCCTCTCAGCTTGGGGCCATCATTTCTTTTCAAATGCATGAACTGTCACTCCAGCTCAAAGCTCACTGGGCCTGAAGTCCTTTTCAGTCCACCCCTGCCATGGCAGTTAGCAGCAGAGAGCCTGACTTCCTCATGCTACAGGAATGCTCTGTTCCTAGCCTATTGGGAAACTGCTAGAGGACATATCAAGGCCTGAGGACAAGGCAGTACTATCAAAACAGCACAGGGACCTTTGATGCTGACCCTCCACGTTGAGGCTCTTCTCCTTCATGCCTGCCTGACACCTCCCACACGGGGAGACTTGATGTTCTCTCATTTTCCCAAGCAGCTATCTTTTGTCTGCCAACTGTAAACCCAGGTACATGAGTGCCGTGTTCTTATCTTTGTCGTGTTACACTCCTGAGCCAACACAAGAAATATGTTGTCTGGAGCTTTGGAAGAAATCCAGAAAGAGCAGAGTCAGAGCTTAACAGTTGAAAACCTGCAGTGTTGTGTTGGCATCTCAGCCCAGTGCCTTACTGTTCCCATTCTACCTGCTCTAAGGTGATTGATTGCTCTCTGGGTGACAGGCTAGGCACCCGGTATATTCCTTTGTATATTGTAAGGGACTCTGCTCAAATACTGAACAGGCTGCCTGTCATTCACGGGCTACTGAGAAATTCAGTTTTAGGGAATGACTCAGAATGTAGTCCATGGCTTCCTTCCAATTATAACCTTTCACCCCCACCTTCTTGTGCCCTTGACATTTGTTTGATGGGGTAACAAGGAAGCTTCACTTTGATCTCTATAATTTGAGTGAAGTTACTAAGTAACTTACCCATTTTGAATGGGAGAATTTTGAATAATGAGCATAAAACTCCTAAAAATCTGGGAGTGTGATGGCTAATGATATTAGAATGTAGTCCTTGAACTTGACCCACAATAGGTGTTCTCACCCATTGGCTGAGAGGAGGGAACAGCAAGCATCCTTCTGAACTCATCTCATTGGTTTCCTCCTTGTCTTGATGACATCATCTATGCCATACTTACAGATTACCACACCTGGATAGAGAAACTCGGAGATTACTTCCCATAACGCAGGAAGCACTGGCCATGGAAAACTCTGATGAGAGCATGCCAGTCAGTCCAAACATAAGAAGGCAGGGCTTAAGACCTGTCTTCCATGGCAGTTTGTAAATGAGCTAGAGAAGTTCTGGTTAGGGCTTAAGACCTGTCTTCCATGGCAGTTTGTAAATGAGCTAGAGAAGTTCTGGTTAGGGCTTAAGACCTGTCTTCCATGGCAGTTTGTAAATGAGCTAGAGAAGTTCTGGTTGTCTGTACTAAAATGTACACAGCACACCCCAGTCAGAATCTCCCATCCTCATCCTGTCATAGTAAAGGATACTCATTGTACATGACACACATTGAATGTGACCAATACCTGCCGAATGCTCCACCTATTCTACATAAAATCATGTACCCAAGACCGAGACAGCAATGTTTGCAACCATTTTATGTAGAATAGACATCCCAAATATCTCTCAGCAAGTGAGATCAAACTCCAGTACTCACTAGAATACTACTAAATGACAAACAGTCATGAAATATCAAAAGGTGATACAAGGAGGACCTTCAAGAATACCACCACGAGTAGAAAAAAAACACAGATGCAAAAGGCCACCTACTGTTTTATTCCTTTTCTATAAAATTTGGCAGCTGTAATCTACAGTGGCAGAGAGCAGATGGGTCAGTTACCTAGAAAGTGGGAAGAAAGATAGGGAAGAGGGGAAACCTGCAAAGGGAGGGAGAGTGCCATCTTCTGGAGGTGATGTTTGCTGCCTTGGCTGTGATGGTGGAGTCGCAGGAGTGTCACACCTTATCAAATGGTACACTTCATACATGTGCAGTTTCACTATGTAACAGCTGTAGCTCAATAAAAACGTTAAATGAAAGAAACTGTATATGGGACAGGAGAGTAGACAGGGGGGAATATTTGGGAGAAGGGAGGGGACTAAAGAGAGTATGGAAGTGAGGGAGAGGGGAATGGAATTGAAGAGAGATAAGAGGCAGATGCAATAGTATCATGAAACCCATTATTTTATACAAGTTAAAAAAGATTGAAAACAGCAAAATTTCATATGGTTCCACTCCCATATAAATCTCAGTAATAAATTAAATTTTTAAAACCTTATATATTTTTCATGCATTTATTGGAAACATACCATATGCCAGGCACCATGGAAAATATGTGCAATGAAAAACAAGTGTGACTCCTCTGGCTCTGCAGCTGGATGGGAGAAATAGGCTTGTAAGCAGACAATGGATTGACTTCCCCAAAGGCAGTGCTGAAGTAATTACCAGGTTTAACCAAATTGTCCTCTGTTGATTGAATTTATGTGTGTATCTGTGCTTTCTTGTCTTACAGAGTGACTTGTGGTCTTTGGGAATCACCGCCATTGAGATGGCAGAAGGTGCACCCCGTAAGTTCCTTCCCTGGGTAAAATCGGTTGCTGATGGGTTCTACAGGTCCTTCAGGCTCCTTGCCAGGGCTGCCGTTGGTCCACTTCTGCTGCACTTAGTGTGGCATGGGTCTGATGTGGCATATTTAGAAGGCAGAGTCATCTTAAATCAACCAGGAATCTGTTCATTTCAGAGCCGTGTACAGATCTGTGTTTTTCTAGAAAAGAAGAAAGAAAACTTTGGGGAGTCTTTTTGTCTTATCCACCTACTGTGTGGCTCATTCTTGAGGCATCCTGCCTCACATAGAACTTGGAACAACCACAAACAATGTCAACTCCTATGCACAAAACTCCAAAGCTGAATTCCCAGTGCAGCTTTCACAAATACCTGAATCAGAGGCAGCCCCTCCTCTGAAAATATTAGTATTTAAGGTGAAAGCTATCCCTGCCGTTATAGGAGCAGTGTCCCAGATGATTGACATCCTGAGAACCTCCCTAGTCCCCTGGGACTGAGTGCTAGCACCATAGAAGACCTCTGATAGCTGTTGTGATGAATGGCGGGGAGGACTGAGACTGTACCTCCCAGACATCCCTGAAGGTCCCCCTTTCCAGAAAGGGTTCACTTTGCAGGCAACTGTGGTTCAAGCAACATGCTGACACCTGGCCCACCCTGCCTGACCCACCTTCCCTCCTGCACCCTGTGCTGGAATTGCGTAACAATGGCATGGCTCTCCCCTGGCTCCTTCTCTATCTCCCTTACAGAGGAATTTGCCCCCACACCGTCACACCTTCTCATCCATTTCTCACAGGACCAGGACTGAAAAGGCCTGCAAAGACCTTCATGACGGTTCATTCTTAGACTCAGGACTTGTGAAGTCGTCACTGCCTTCTTATTTTTCTTAAGTTCCTTGAATCCATGTGCGGCATGATTGACTTGGAGTTTGTTGACAAAATTTCCTTTGTTCACAATGACATTTGTGAGTCAGAAAAATTCGGATACCACACTTTTATAAAACTGTGTTATCATCCTGAGTGGTAGACAAGACTAAAAATAAACTCTGCCCACAGAATCTCCTGGCATTGAGGAAGCATATATTCTCAATCTTGGTACAAAAAAAAAAAAAAAAAAAAAAAAAAATTTT